GAGCGGGGAAGGGCCAGGGAGCCGAGGGCTTCGGACAGAGGCAGGAGCTGGGCGCTGAGAAGCGGAGCACTAGCCTCTCAGATGCAAGAGCCAGGACTGTTTGGGGAAGGTGAGTGCGGAGCTGCTGGATAGAGAAGACCCTCCTGCCCGCTTAGCAAACTCAAAATCCGTGGGCACAGGGTGCCTCCTGAGGGCCCCCGGTGAGGCGGGAGGGTGGGAAACTGAGGTGCGGACAGAGGCCTTAGTGCTCTGTCGGGAGACGTGTCGGAACCAGACTCTGCCTGCCTCGCCGCCGGCCTCCAGTCCGGGTCCGCCCCCGAAGGAGGCCTTATCACTGGGAGTTTCTTCGAAAGCGATGCGGCGGGGCCTGGGGCAGACTCTGCCTTTCCCAGGGTTGGGGGCGGGGTGATCCTGGGTCACGGGCAAGGCTGGGGCGGGTTAGCCAGTGTAGACGCCAGGAGGAGCGATCAGAGAGGGTCTCGGGTGGAAAATAACACCCGTTAGGATAGCTTTTCATGACGGAAATTCTGAAACTGTCGTCGAGCTCAAGGGAGGGAGTGCCGAGCCCCCGCCTGTCCGAGGCACACGTTCGGCTGTCCCGCACAGGAAGTGGCACTCCGGGGAGCGGTTCCCGCACTGTGTTCGGTGTGTAAACGCAGAGATGGGAAAGCCCAGTTCCTCAGGGGCTGCTGCTCGGCCTGCCGATCACAGACACGACCGCTGCACTGTCAAGTAAGGCCTCACGCCCTTTCAAGCCAGCGAGGCGACTGCAGAGCAGTCGAAAATGCCACGAACTAGTGTCGCGTTAGGTAGTTAAACCCCTTGGCGCGTTCGATAGTTTTATTGATTTATGCCGTCTTAAAAAAATTACCAAGGCGCTTCTGGGTGCTGCCCGTGTTCCCGCCTTTCTGGAGCTTTCACGTGGCTGCTCAGACGTGATGATCCCCCCGTGTGAGTTAACTCGGTAGCTGAAGCGGGGGCCCGGCGGGGTGACGCCTGCAGACACCCACTCGGGCGGCCCGTGTCTGTCAAGGAGTGTGGCCCTGGTTGACGTCTCGTTTTCAGCCCGATTGCTGGTATGCACTCAGGGCCTGAGCGAAATGTGTGCAGGTGGCCCCGAGCTCCACCACGGGCTGGCTCGGAGACCTCGAGCAAGCCACTTCCCCTCTGAGCTGCAGGTTCCACATCTATCACGTGGGTTGGCGACAGACAGGGCCTGGCTGTTTCGCGGTCGGGAGGCGGCCAGTCACGGCACGTGTTCAGGGACCTTCGGCAGAGGATACAGGTGTAGGCTGGAGGGTGGTGTAACGAGTGACCTGGAGATTCACGACTCTGGCTCCTGGTCTCCCAGGGGCCCATCTCTGCTTGGGAAAACCCCAAGGAAGGGACTAGGGGGAAGGAAATGTTGCCGGGGCGGAGAGAGGGAGGGAGAAAAGTCGCCTGTCTGGAGGAGGAGGGCGTCGGGCTGGCCCCAGCTGTGCACGCCGCCTGAGGTGGGGTTCCAGGCGGGGAAGCCTGCCGCCGACAGGGCTTCCTCCGGGAAGGGAGAAGAGGCCGTTCCGGATTCTCCGGTGTCTGGTTGGGGAGCAGGGGAGGGGCCCACTGGCCTTCTGCCCAGCCATCTGGAGGGCTGGGCTCTGGCCCAGGCTCCCTCTGGGGGACGCAGGGCCCCTGCCTCGCCAGCAGCTTCTTCTCTCCCCAAGGGAGGCCGTGGGGCGGTGGCATTGTGGGGATGACCAGGCCGAGGCTGGGCCCCGGCCAGTGACCCCACCCAGCATCCCTGGGGCCCGAGCAGCCGTGACCCACATCTCCGCCCCCGCAGTCCGCCTGCTCCTGTGGCCCTGACATTTCAGCCCGGCTGAGCTGTTTCCCAGTGCTTGGTGGGGCGCCAGCTCCCCGCCACCCCCTCCAGCTTTAGTCCCTTCGTGCTGCCTCCTCGGCGGGCCTGCCTCCTGCCCGCCTCCCCGAGGGCACGCAGAGCCTCTCCTCCTACCACTCAAGACCTGACCTGTGACCTGGCTGGCAGGGCCCGGCGTGGGCCGTGGGCCGGGGCGAGGCCCCGCTTCCCAGGCCCAGCTGGAGACAGAAACAAAAGCAGATTTAGAAGGGGGGAACCCACCAGCGAGCTGCGTGTAATGTCCTCGTTTTTCCTGGAAGCCGCCTCCAGCAGGACAAACAAATATATTTTCAAAGGCGCTAAAACCAGTGACTCATCCCGAGGAACGCCTCCTTTGCCGAGCCCTGGCCCGCCCGCCCAGGCCTCCCAGCTCTCCCACGCCCCCCTGGGCTTAATTGCTCTGAGTGGGGCGGTGCCCGCCCAGCCAGGCCAGCGGAGATGGCAGGCGCCCGGGAGCTCGGCGTCCACCCCGCCGGGAAGCCCCTCTCCACCTGGCCTCAGGCCCACCCTTCTGTTCCCACAGGTTCATGCAGCACCCCAAGAACTTTGGCCTGATTGCATCTTTCCTGGAGAGGAAGGTGAGTCTCCGCCCGCCAGCCCCGCCGCCCCGCCCCTCGCCCCTCTGGTGTCTGTGCCCACAGGCAGCGGCCGGACCAGGCGAGGACTCGCCCCCTCCCCGCTCAGAGGCCTCTGCCGCCTTGTCCCTCACCCCCCTCGCTGTGTCTGCCTGTTCTCCCCTCCTTTCTCCTTCCTGAGAAGGCGGCCTCAGGTCCCGCCCTCCTGGGCCCATGGGGGCGGAGCTCTGGGCAGGGAAACCCCAGGAGAGCTGAGTGAGTGCAGGGCGTCCCTGGAGCTGGCTCTTCAGACGTGGCAGCCAGCGTCCCCGCAGACTGGGCATGGGTTCCAGAGGCCACGGCGTCCTAATTAGGGCTTTATGGGCAAGAGTGGCGTTCTTGCAGGACGCTGGATGGAATGACCTTTCTCGGTCCCTCTGATGGCCAATGTACGCTGACATCCCAGACGCCAAGCCAGGCGTGTGGTCAGCAGGTCCCTGTTCCCTTCGGACAGACCTTCGCGTAGCACCGATGTCTGATCCCCACCTTGCCCCAGACCCAGCCTGGGCAACGCCCCTTTCCGCCCTGGCTCCCCCTCGGCAGGTAGACACGAGGACTCCCCGGGGACAGTAAAGCCCCTGTGTGTGTCCCCGAGTGGGGCCGGGCAGTGCCCGCAGCTGTCCCCAGGCTGGACTCGGCCCTCGGAACAACAGCACGCGAGCAGAGTGAGAACGGAGTGCCCCAGAGGTGTCCCTCCTGGGGGCGCCGTTCCGGGTGTTTCAAGCGGGGTCCCCTGAATCTCGTTTCTGCAGATGCCCTGCTCTGCCGGCCTCCAGCCCCTCCCTGCAGAGGGGGGGACTGCGGCCAGAGCCAGGGGCCCCTTGTAAGGTCCCCGTTGTCCCCAGGTCTGCCCTTGGTGACCTGCTAACTACAGAAGGAGGGGGCCAGGGCGGCAGGGGGCCATCTCCCCATGCCTGGGGAACCAGTGTGGAGAAGCGAGTCCTCTGAAAGCCTTTCCCCGAGTTACGGCAGAGTCTTGCTAGGGGCCTGGACACCCCTAAAGGTGCTACGCTAGGGCTCGCCCGAGGCGGAAGCCGGGCTTACGGAAGTTGACAATTGAGTGGCATTATTTAGGGACGAGGGAGTCGGGTCTCTGCTCTGGGAGCAAACTTTATGGCGTCCCTGGCCGAGGCGGCCCAGGGCGAGACTTAAGTGGAGCTTCCAGAGGGTCTGCAGCCGGGTGTGCCCGCTCGGCCCCATGCCAGTCCTGACTGTGAGCGAGGCTGGGGTGGGAGCTCAGCGGCCTGGCCGGCCTGGGGCCACCTGCAGGACCAGCTGCCGCCCGCAGGCAGTCACGGCCACCTAGTACAGGAAGGTGCTGAGTCGTTCAAGGAGAAGCCGGACACCCACGTCACCCGGTTTGCAGATCCTGGCATCTGATCATAAAATGCTCTTGATTGCCGTAACGTGCGGGCTCTGTCGGGGAGCAGCCTCTGTTCCTGGTGCTTTCCGGGGCTTTGGGGCCCAGCCCGCCTCTGCACCCAGCAGCTTCTCAGAGGTGAATTTCTAGCCTGGCACCAGCTACAAGCATCACAGAAACGTTTTCTATCGCATCAGTAACTGCTGCTGGCATTAACGAGCTGTCACCTGGAGCCACGCTTGTGGCCTTGGGTGGGGGGCATCACTGCACTGAGTCCTCTGGGATGTCCTCTGACTGGTCCCTTTTGGACGTGGTGGTGGGGCTCAGATCCAGGTCCACTGCCAGAGACCAAGGCAGAGAAAAGACGTAGACATTTGAAGAGCTGAAGAGTCGTGAGGATGTTGGTCAGGCTGGGCACACGGAGCTCAGAGCAAGTTGTTCAGGGCCCCGAACCCCAGGGAGGAGGAGGCTGGGCTGAGAAGAAGGGGACCCCAGACTGGGACAGGGACCCAGCTTGGCGCAGCTGGGAGCTGGGAGCCCGTTCGCCTGGGGCTGGGGATGACAGGTGACAGCTCTGTCATTACAGTCACCGGGAGCAGTGACAGGGAGAACAGGTAGCCTCTCTCCAGTCCGTGCCGTGCCGGGCATTGTCCTCAGCCCTTAATTATGTGTGTTACCGTCCTTGGTGTTCGCGGCAGCGCTGACGTGGACGCACCCCGTATCCCCATCCTACCGAACAAACCGTGACTCGGGGCCGTGCAGCCGGGTCGTGGAGGAGGCAGGGTTTGAACCGGGGGCCCTCTGGCTGCTCCCCGCCCCGGCCACCCTCACCGCACACTGCCCAGCGACCCTGTCTCCCTCTGCCCGCAGACGGTGGCCGAGTGCGTCCTCTATTACTACCTGACCAAGAAGAATGAGAACTACAAGAGCCTGGTGAGACGGAGCTACCGCCGCCGCGGCAAGAGCCAGGTGAGGGGGGGGCGGGGCGCGCGTCCCGTTTGGGCCCACCCCCCACCCCTGAGGGGGCCCGGACGCCCTCTCTGGGGGAGTTTGGGCCTGCGCCAGCTGCAGACAAGGGGGTGAGGACAAACGGCCACTTTATTTTCTCAGCCTGGAAAGCTGTGGAACTCAGCTTGGTGACCCGTGGTCCCCGCAGTTAAAAGGGCCACACGTCCAGAGCGTGGGCCGGTTCTCAGGATGATGTGGTCTGGTCCGCAAACATCATTGACGTTTAAAGTTTTTTAATACTGTTTATCTTCATGCGTATTTGAAAGAAAAACAAAAGCCGGTACTTCAACCTGTAGGTTTTTGAGACCTCACTACTTAGGATGAGACTAAAGGATGATTTCAGCTAGCACAGGGCTTGGCAAACACTGACCCGTCACCTGTTTTTGTGATTAAAGTTTTCTTGTCACATAAGCCACGCTCACTCATTTATATGTACCCCTGTGGCAGCTTTTCTGTTCCAACAGCAGAGTTGAGTAGTTTCATGACAGAAACTACAGAGCCTAAAAAATTTAATACCCGCTTCTTTGCAGAAAAAGTCCGCTGACCTCTGAGTCCGAGGAGAAAGGGGTTAGCTTATAAAAAATTCAGTAGATGAGGGTGAAGGTGACGGGGTCAGTGGTGCACATTCAGAGTTGGGGCGTGAGTGCTTGGTGTTTGGGGGCCCAGGGAAGGGATGGCTTTGTGTTCACTTCCGGGCTGTTGAGAATCAGCCCAGAGCAGATGCTGGGAGCACCTGGCGGGAAGAGGCGGCTCTTACCGGGGTCCGAGGGATTCGGGCTGACCCTGCAGCGGGCACTGGGCACTGCCGTTAGATGCTGGACCGGAGCTGGTTGAGCCGTGTCCTCCCCTGAGCCTCCGTGGCCTGGGGGAGCCCAGGGGACGGTGATGGTGGCTGGGAGTGCATGAGCTGGGATGGAGGGACCCCGAGCTTTCTTAGGTGGGGGCTGCCCGCCTTCCTCCCCAAGGCTGGCGAGGGCAGGACATTGAGGGCATCAGGGTCACCATCGCCGGTGGGGTCCCAGCGTCCCCTGCGAAGCTCGGTGACCAAGTCCCTCAGCCTGCAGCGGGTGGTCCTCCTGGCGTCCTACCCCGCATCTGGCATCTCCCTTCTGGCCTTCCGGGGCCTGTGCTTCAGGACTGGGGTCTGCTGTCCTGGTGGCTGAGCTACATGTAATTAGGGAGCAACTCTGTTGATGGAGATGAACAGCCCCTCACTGCATCCTGAGCGTCAGGCCAACGTGGTTGGGACTGAGCCTTGGTCCTTGATGGCCCGGGTCCTTGAAGGATGGCTGTGTTTGGCTTGGGGACAGGGTTTTCCTCTCCAGTTTTGTATAGCCACAGTGGGCCCACCTGCTTGCCTATCTAGCAGATGTGTAAAACCGAGGCTTACTGGCCTGGAGCTATTTATTCCAGACACCTAGCTGTGGCATTTTAGAAGGTGAAGTTCATTCGGGAATTTTCTAGACTGAGACAAAATCACAAATAAATGGCAGGAAGCATGAGCTGGAGTGATAGGACCCCGAGGAGATATGCTGAGGGAGGAGAGGCAGTAGGGAGTGGTGGGGTCTGTGGCAAAATAGAGGGGCGCTAAGGGCATTAAGGTTTATCTTTAAAACATCGTCAGGTATTCGTTTAGCACCTGGGTTGTGCCAGTTCTCTCGTGAGTCTTCCTGGTGTCCCCCCTGCCTCCTGTGCCTTTTGTGGGGGCACCGTGGGTGGGCTCACAAGGCTCCTTCTGGTGGCTGGGCTGGGGGCTCTGGAGAGGGGAGGGGGATAGGTGAGACCCGGCTCCTGCTGCCCGTGTGCCGGGAGCCCCGTTTGCACGGAGGGAGGCGGAGACTGGGTGTTGGGGTCGCTTAGGAAGGGGGCAGCTCCTAGGGGCGAGGGGCCCTCCATTTCCACCCCCGGCCGCCACGTCATTCACTGTGTGGTGTCGACACCTTGTGTGGCAACTCGTCTGTCCGTCGGTCGTTTGTGCGGTGGGCACGGGGGCGGTGAGCCGGTCGACAGGCCGAGTGTAAACACGCAGTACGGAGACATGCCAGAGATCTGCCCAGCACCTTCGCAACGGGGCCTCGGCGCCTTCCAGGGTCTTAGACGAAGAGAAGGAAAGGAGAGAAGTCACGGACCCCGTTTGTTCCCCTCACGTCTGATAAGGAAGTGAAGCTATTTCTCCACTCCGTGGCGACAGACGTACAGGGGTCTCGCGAGGGGGAGGCAGTCGGGAGTGGCGGAGCCTGGGGCTTGCCAGCGGGCTCTGGCCACGTATCAGTGCCCGCCGGCTCTTGGCCAAGAGGTCTGTGTGTTCCAAAGTTTTGACGATGGGCTGGAAATCTGTTTTGTGTGTGTGTGATTTTGCCTGATTTTAAATCGTAGGTCACATGATCAACAACAGTAAAAAACCGTACCGGCGAAACCGCTCCTGTCTGCTCTTGAAATCGGCCCTCAGCCCCCAGTGTGCGACCTCTGGGTTCGAATGCGGTAGGGCCGGGGAGGCAGTAGAGAGGACAGTGGCCAGGCCAGGACGTGACGAGGACAGTGGCCAGGCCAGGCCGGGCTGTTTTATAGCAGAGGAGCAATGTTCGTTTCCTCTTTCTGTCAGCGTCGTGAGTTAGGCAGGGTGAGGGACACGGGCTTCTCTGGTGAGGTTTTCCTCTCTGCTCAAGCTGGCGTCTACGCTGAGACTCCCCAGACCGAGGAGGGAGGACTCCGCGCTCTGCCTCTCACAGCAAGACGGAACAAAGCAGGGCAGGGGCCCCGTCTCCCTGGGCGACAGGATAAGTCTTTGGAGCTGTCCCCACCCTTTGATCGGCTGGGGCTGCTATAGACGTGCAGGGGCAGCTCAGCTCCTGCCAGGCACGGAGACTCACGCGTGGATCCTGGAGAGCCTCTGCCAGGCAGAGGCACTGCCCCCACCACGACCCGCCAGCCCCGTCCATAAATGCGGAATAAATGGGTCAGCCAAGTGCTGGCTTTAGGGCTGCCCCTTGACAGTGAGATAAATGGCAGACACGGGCCCCACAGCCCCTCGTGTAAATTCGAGATGCACTTGCCAGAGCCGGCTGAGCTCCAGGGTTTTATAAAGCCCATGACCTTGCCAGTGAAACTCCCGGTCGGGGCCGGTGGTTCTCTAGCCTGGCGTGCAGTGGGCGCGGACACGTCTGCTTGCAGCCTGCAGGTGGATGGACAGTGGGTGTAGGGGTGGTGGCCTCCCGTGGGCTGGCGCCACGAGCAGGCGGGAGGTGGGCAGGCAGAGGCCCAGGTGGGATGGGCACGGACTGTGACCCGCCGTGGGCCGAGACAGTGCCAGATGACAGCTCTGCTGCCCTTCCTTGTTCTGACTGGCACTGTGCACACCCCGTCGGCTCCGGCAGGAATCCAGGCCACAGCACGCGGGGGTCCCTGCCCCGGGTCATTCGTCCACGTGGGCTCTGGGTCAAGAGCACAGCCCCTTCCCTCCGGTCCCAGGGAAGGCCGGGAAGGTATTCAGGTTCTTCCTGGAAGGTGACGTGGAGGCCTCAGGGCAGGGGCCTCCGCTGCCAGGAGGTGGCCCCGCTCCTCAGGTGGGTGGAGGCTGAGCCGCTGGTGGGGTATTTATTTCTTAAGGGGAGCACATCAGGCTCACCCCGCCTGCCTGGGCCCCTGTAGTTGCGGAAGCAGACTGAGGTGTCACCCCAGAATTTGCTCGGGGAACACTGGGAGTCCCGTGAGAGTCTGGAGTCCCGTCAGAATTCCTGGGGCGCCCGTCCTGGCAGTGCGACCAGGACAGCGGTGCCCCCGGCCAGCACGGCGACAGGGAGGCGGAGGGGAATCGCGTGCCGGGCTGTGTGAGGGCTCGATGCCTCGTGACTGAGAGCGGCACAGGGCGAGGGGGCTCACTGAGGAGCCCGCTGGCCGCGGCAGACTCGCGGTCCAGGGCCGGCACGGGCCGCTCGCTGGTGGAGCCTGGGCGGTGCCGGCCGGCCCGCCATTGGCAGCGTGTTGGTGGTGCCGCCAGCTTCTCAGAAACGCGCTAATCGACCTTGCCGGCCGGTGGGGTCCCCCGGTGCTGGGTCCGGGCAGCGGACGGGCTCGGCGTGCTGTGTGGGGACAGCCCGCCCGCGTCTCCGTCTCTGCTCCCTGGGACTCCCCCGTGCTCCCGCGAGGCCATAGCCGGAGAGTCGCGGTCTCTCTGCTGTGTCCCTCCCGCCCTGCACCATGTTCGTCTCTGGGAGACAGACGCAGAGGGCCGTCTCCCCTCCGGTCCGTCCCCACCCCGTCACCGCCCTCCTCAGCACCGCCTGGGTCCCCCTCTCCTGAGGTGCCACCGGCTGCCCAGGCTCCGGTCTCTGTCCGTGGTCCTGGACTGCTTCCATGGCTCGGGGCCACATTGTTGCTAAGCGCAGCCACCAGGGGCCGCTCAGCCTGCCAGCCCAGCCTGCAGGTATCCCCCGCTGGACCCCCCCGCCCCCCCACCGCTGGGACAGGCCCTGGGCCTCATTTCCCCAGGGCCGAGCCCCTCCCCCACCCCAGGGGTGTTGGACACACGATACAGTGTGTTCCTAAAGGGCATTTCTCGAGTCCCTGCTGCGTGTCAGGGCTGTAAAGCTTTGCGTGCACCACCCATCAGGCTGCGATGCTGGCTGCTGGGAGCCAGACAGGCGGCCCCTGCCGAGCCCGCCGGCCGCACAAACCGCCCTGAGGAAGAGCCGCCGAGGTAGACTCGAGGTGGGACTTCCATGGTGCCGACGAGCAGGCACCTACCACCCTGTAGACGGCCCCTTTCCTGAGCTGGGCTGCTCTCAGGGGGCCCAGGCGCGGGGGATGTCCCCTCGCCACTCCTGCCTCGGCGGGAGGAGTCCGTCTCGGCCCCGGTCCCAAGTGCCCAGGTCTGAGAAGGGGAAGTGCAGTCCGTGAGGGGGCAGGTTATTCCCCGTGGAGCGGAGGGCTCCTTCCTCCTGCCAGCACCAGCGTCCGAGCCA